TGTGCTTCGTCTGTATAGTTTGTCGAGTACTAGCTATTTGCACACTAACCTTAAAGGGGAAGTCAAGTCCGTAATGTAAACAAACGGTTTGTTTACATTTTGAACTGCTGTATTTTTAAAAATATGATGTACTGTCTGAATATCTAACACTATTTTGGTTCGCTATGCTTCTAAATGAATATGAAATAGAGTTTATGTTCAGAAAAATTCGAAACATTCGAAATTTGGGCAATTTTCACATTAGAGGTCCTCACATTGTTATGAGCAGAACCGATGCGCAGAACGGACTTGACTTCCCCTTTAAGGTAATGTTCACCAACAAATTTCTTGTTTGTTTTTTTTTCACCTTTCCACATATGCATTCTTGCAGATTTGTCTTTTATCAGATTATGAAGTGCATGGAGTACACTTACTTCTAAACCTTAAATTATAAAAAAAGGCAAATAGAAACAGACCAATGTATTTTTTCCCTTGGTTATTTCTTATATACGAAAGTACATACAAATTGTACTTACCAGTGTAATGCATTGAGTTCTTCGGATTTTCTACATTTTGCATGAATAAATGTTTTGACATTTTTTTGGGGGATATCATCTGGCTATCAGAGTACACTGTTAGATGATCCAATGTGACATTTGTCTATATAGAGCAGAAATTTGAAAGAAGGTATAAAATGTCATGGATGGTATATAGGCCATATTCACTCCCTCATACAGATTAGACAAGAAAATATTTAACCACAAATTAAGAGATCTTTTTTCTCAGAAATTTGTAAATTTCTCCCTTGAAATATCGCAGAGATCAAACAATGCTGAAACAACCCACAGAAACAGCTTTAAAATCACCCTTGGGGAGTGGGTGAGAGTGTTTATATCCATGGACGGACTAAGGGCTTGTTTATATGATCCCACCGAGGTGGGACAGGACGTTTTCATCCTGCCTCAGCCGGAAAACTTGCCTTAGGTGGGATAGCATGTTTATATGAAAAAAATACATTGCTGGGATGAAGCCTTTTAAGGTTGTGATCATATAAACAAAATTTTATATTTCCTAAACCTGAAATTATAAATTAAACCAGTACAATATTAAAGTGCTTACTTGAGTTGCACAGTTCGTAGGTCCTTTTATCTCTGTCTTGTCCTTCATCTGTTAGTGATTCCTCACAAGAAGGGTCTTGTAGTCTAGCATCACACAAAGATGACGAGGCATCTGAATTCTTGCAAATATCACTGTCTTGTCTAGCATCACACAAAGATAATAAGGCATCGACAGCATCAGACGTCGCAGATGAAAGTAGCAACATCGATTCGGCTGCTAATCTATCGGTTGCTGTCCTAAATCTTTTTCCATGGGCAAATCGTTCAGTTGGTGCTTTTCTCTTTCTGCCAAGCCGCATGATCTGATATGTGAGAAGCAAAAAATCGCAACTAATATAAAATGTATATATGCAAAATGTAATCAGCTAATGAAATATTCATACCATCACACATTATCCTGGATTTACATGGCCAAGTAGAAAGAAATAACAAACCTTATCTCTACTTGCTGTCGCTGGAATGGGATCAGGATATTTTTCTGTTGGCCCTTTCTTTCCAACAAAATGTAAACTACATACGTAGCTATCCTTTGTGCAAACAAAGCCATCAGCACGGCAACAAGCACGGATCCACGATTCTCTTCGTTTTTTGAATTTTCTTTCCGAAGGAAAAGGATGGAAAGTAACAGGTATTCCGTCTTTTATTAACCTTTCTGGATATCGTGAATCAGTGTTACATGTACCCCAAGCACATCTTTTAACCATGATACAGTCACTGAAACAACAGCCAAGCACGGCTGCACGCTGCTGACTTTAAACTGATCTTTTTTCAATATTACTCTGACTGAATTTTATACACGTTATAAATTATATACACAGAAGTCAGTTTTCTCAATTATTTCGTCGAATTTCTTTAATATTCTCGGTAAAAACGCGAAAAAAATCAGATTTTGTTCACCACTTAAACGCACGTGTAATACTATATATATAATTTGGAGGGTCTCCCAGGGGTTTTTGGGGAACAAGGGAACACTGTAAATTATACAATGGGAACACGGGAACAAAGGAAAACAAAATTAGGGAACAAGGGAACACGAAATATATTGGGGAACAGGGGAACAAAGCCCCTTTCCTAGAATATATACAAGTGGTACAATGGCCTAATGTATTGTAGATGAAAAATGGGCATAATATATCGTTTTCTCCAATTTGTCCAACCAGCTAGTGTACTTGTGGTAGACTGTTCTACGGGCTGCTTGAGGATGATAAGTGAAGTTTCTCCTCTAGTCAGATTTTTGAGCAGCCATCATGACTTTTCTCGGTCACATTTTGCTTGCACCTGAAAAAGCAGATACCAACGGCAACGCCCTTCACAATCGACGTAGCAATCACCAGAATCGAAGAGGTATGTGACTTCGATTGTCAGTGCATACATAGAACAAGTCAAAGCCTTCCTTAGAACAAATGCCCAGAGCCAAGGTTCGCAAGGAAACGTTTCTTCAGTCGTTGTGGAAGACGAAACAAGAATCTTTGGGAGAAATGCGAGGTCTGCTTCAAAAGTATGATCCACAGCTTTTCAAGTTGTTCAAACTTAAAGCCGTTTGACGCTGGTAGTCGAGAATTGTTTCTCCGAGGTGAGGGCAGGGCATGTGATATGCCAATGCAGTTGCAGTTCGACTTTCACTTCAGTCAAGCAATGAAGGAGCACTTGAATACGTCAAATCTGACTTGAAGTATTCAACTCTACCAAAGATGGCCCCACCTTCAGCAGCACAGTTGACAAAGTCACAAGTGCAGCAAATGAGAGACTAGCGCATAAAGTATGGTCAAAGTGTCCCACAGAATACCGTGCGGAACATGAGCACTAAAGACAATCCGGGTACTCTGCCGATAAATCTCTATGCCCTGGCACAGCCAGCTAGCGAGCCTTTGGAATTCTCAAAAATTACAGAAAATGGTACCCAAACAGACACACACCATGCCAACTCGCACAACATTCTTCATTCCACTGGGGACGTTGTTTTTCTTGCCTCGTACGCCAATTGTGGGCGGATGATGATCTACCATCTACAAGAAAACGTTAGTGTTTCAACAAAGAAAGCAAGAGCCACCATTTTTGAAGGTGACCCTTTCAATCCACTTATATTTACAGAAGAAGGAGTTGTCAAGGTCAATGCGAAAGAAATACCTGGTTTTCAAGTGGAAACCGTTTGCAGGAGATAGCAACCTTGAACTGACAGAGAATGAGTTTCTAAGATAGCAGTCGAGAATGATTGAATGTGTTGATGCTGTGACGATTGAAGAGGCGAGAGAAATTAGAGAGCGCCAGGATATCGACCAAGAAAGTGCAACAGATACGAAGCCAGGACGTGCAAGAAAGACACCACATAGGCTACTGACGATTTTGTATATTATGATTAGTAAACGTGATACTTTAGTCAGGGGCGTAGGAAGCACCTGGAGTTTGGGGGGGCACCGGCTTGTAGGGGCACATTACTATCGGGAAGGGCACCTTTTCCCGGAAATGTTGTCGACGGGGGGGGGGGG